CCTAAAAACGCGTGCCATTCTGACCAGTACCTACCCCAATTTGTGGCTCATAGTTTTTATTAGGCCTATAGTTTTGACATTTGACGGATATTGTGCCACATTTTCATGTTCCCTTAATGTTAGATTTTCTAAGATATTCTAAATAAATATTTTATTTTTTTCATTACTTTGCAAGTGATAAGAGACTATATTCATTATTATTATTTGATGGATTAAGGATTTTACCTAATCCAATATTATTTGAACAGTACAAGTAAGCCCAATTCAGTATGGCTCAATTTACAAATCAGATAAATTATTCAAGACGGAACCAGAGATATAAAACGTAGAAGATAATTTGAAGTGATATGTAAATATTGAATGGACCCGTGATAAACATACCCACATGAAACCCATATGAGTATCACATAAAGGAGGGGCCCGATGTGATATGCTAACTTTCCTTTAAATGGGAGGTCATTTCCAAGAGAGGGGGACAGATTATTCTCCTACGAGGCTACATATGTACTTAGGAGGCCAAAGTTCATTTCCTATTACTATTCTTCATTCTTCTTCTTTTTTAAGCTTGGAGCTCCATTAATGGCTCCAAGCTCCTACAATGGTGTATATGTAAATTCCCCCGAGATTAATAAAAGTTCCTCTCCTTTGGCATGGCACCGCCTAAAAAGGCCAGTGGTTTTTCTCCCGATTTGGGTTTCCACATATAAATACTTTCTCTCCACTTTATTTATTTATTTCTTTTCCGGATTTTGCTATTCGGTGCGGTGCCGATCCGATACCGAATTCATCGGGTCGACACCCCGAAAAAGCGGTTTCCATCACTGGCTCCGAACGTGGGATCGTTAAAAAAAAATTTATATTTTTGGGGTCTTGAGTTGAGTAATAAAAAAAAGTGAAAGAGAGAAAGTAAAAAAAACAAAAAAAGGAGGAGGGATAGAGAAGGAAGGTACGAAGTGATAAACAAGAATTAAAAAAAGGTAGAAAAGTCAAAAAAGGAGAAAAGAAAAGGGAAGAGGGAGGAGCCTTCTTCACAGAGCATCGACAACCTTTGGCGAGCCACGGACACCAGAGTTAGAGGGAAGAGTTAGAGAGAAAGAGAAAGGTGGACAGGGATTGTCTATCATTCAATAAGAGTGGAGCGCCCAACCATCGTGAGATAGATATCAGGTGGGGGTTTAGAGGCTCCCAGAGAATATTGAAAAAAGAGCCCCGAGAAAAGCCCTCTTCCCAGAGGCAACGTGTAACACCCCAACCCGCATAACCCAAATAAATAGGTTAGCAAACCGGGTTGCTACTAGATTGGTATCAACATACAATATTTCCCAATAAATTAAAACATTTACTCCCTCCGTCCCGGAATGATGTTCCCGGTTTGAATTTTCCTCATTTTTAAGATTGGTTGACTATGGGGAGGAATGGTCCAAAACACCCTTCACTAATGAACACCCCAATTTCCGCAATCCATCCGTTCCATCGCCGGCATCTCTTACCACCATCGCCAGCATCTCTTACCACCCCACCTTCTCTACCAATTCCCGGTCGCCGCCAACCCCCCACAAGAACTGTCGGTCCGTCGATCGCCGCCATCCCCCACCACCACGACTAACCCCACCTTTTCCACCAACACCGTCAGCCCCCACCACAACCTCCTGTCCTTCCATCGCCGCCATCCCCCTCCGTCGCAGATTTGGAAGAAAGAAAAGACCTGCGAGGAAGGGAAGAAGAAGAGGAAGAGGCGGAGGATGATGAGAAGACGAAGAGGGGGATAAGATCTGTGTGGATCAGAAAAAAAGCAGAGGAAGAAAGAAGAAGAAGAAGAAAAGAAAAAGAAGAAGAAGATGGAGGTGGAATCGGAGAAAGAGAGAAGAAGAAGAATGAAAAATGAGGAGAGAGGGGAAAAAGAAAAAGATAAGGAGAAAGGAGAACCGAAGGAGAAGAAAAAGAAGAGAAAGAAAGAAAGGAGGAAGAGGGTAGTTTTGGAAGAATGGTAAAAAATAAGTAGAATGGGAACATCATTTCCGGACGAAAAAAACGTACAATGGGAACATCATTTCCGGACGGAGGGAGTAATTTCAAACCCAAACGACTTAAAATCAATTTAAATACATATCGGAGTTTATAAAAACAGTGCGGAAGCCTTATAATTAAATCAAACATTAAATCCCTGCATCCGTACATCTCCTCCGTCATGCTGCTCTCCGGGATGGATTCCAGAATCAATCTACCATAACCACCTACGTGTAGCAAATAGGAAAAAGGCTACACGCTCAGCATTGAAGCTAAGTGAGAAATATCTAACAGTTCGAACATACACATAGGCGAATCCACTAATTCACAATTATCACATGATATCATGGACACAACATGCTTGGCAACAATCATACGGCATCCAAGATATAACATGCATAATCAACGTCATAACAGTTCATAGGATACAAACAGCATCGGTATATGTATTAGGAACTTTCCTTTTTAGTTTACTTTACTTTCTTTATCGTACTTGGCTCTTAACCTATGCTAGGTTGAAGCTTAACTGAATTCGACTTGCCTATGGAGTCATGACCTTCCCCTTCGGAACGAAGGTCAAGCTCAAACCAACTCGAGAGTTCCTCATTGGGTGGGTGAGATCCCTGTCCCCTTCGGAACGACATTTCTTAGATCCCCGTGTACACGTTTTTACCCGAACAGCCATTGGACCCAGCAGGTACCACATGGCTCTAACTTACTATACTTACGGCATACCTTGCCACTAATCCATTCAGGTCATTTCCTAGAGTTCTTCTAGGTGATATATCCCATAATCATCAATCAATACATAATACACCATTCATAAATCCACAATGCATTTAACAAGATATCTAACATAATCAAATAGCGGCCTAACACTGGGTGTAAACACCCATGTTTACCGTCATGCAACACACGAAGTCTCGGAATCAATCCTTGACGAACACACAGATCGACAGACCCGGCACCAGGTACCAGACAGTACCTGTCAAGGTACGGGGTACCGTCCTCACGATACCGGAGTACCGGTCCTACGGTACTGGGGTACCATCCAAACCAACTAAACCTAGCCGGTGGGCCTGTCACGGTAGCCACTACCGACCCGGCGGTAGGGCCTACCGTCCGCCCGGTACCAATGTATCGAATGGTCACATCGACCGACAGAGGAGATATAACCAAACAGAGTGTGACGGTAGCACGGTACCGTCCTGGCAAGACTGCCTAACGTCTGATGCAACCAATTCCATATTCATACCTGTTCCGTTTTTCAGCATCAAACCAACATCAATCTCATAATCAACAAACACCATTATATTCGTAGTAACGTTCTAAACATTATCAAACACGTCAATTCATCAATCAACGCCTAATTCATGCTGTAACGCCCCAAAATATACCCTAAAATTTATTGAATTAAATATTCAATTAAACAAAATTTGTTTTGATTAAAATAAATTGTTGTTGGGCTTTGGGCTGAAATAAAATATATATTGATATCCAATAAACATAATTGGGATAAATCTCATAGATATAAATCCAACATGTTGATTTATTGTGTGATCTTGATTGGGAACCTGAGTACAGACCCAAATTAAGAATAAATGAAGAAATTGTTTATAATGTGAACTTTGAAATGATTTATTGAAATAAATCATGAAAATAAATAATATGAAGAGACGAAAGAGTAAACGAAATGTGTTAGTACAAAAATGTGTATAACCTTCTGATACATTATTAGCGTACGCATCGCATCGCGAATGGCAAAATTGATCTATACCGGAACGTCTCGTAGAAGTAAGACGACTTTGAAGAAACGATTAATATTGATTTTACGAACAACATCTGAGAAGCTGAGGTCAAAGATCCTGACTCAAGACGATATGATCGCTGATTCAAACACGAACATTTAGAATTAATAAACTCCGTTATCTGAAGTATTCCATTCTGATTTCTAATTCATTACGACGCAAATATGTGGTTATATCACATAAATCGAAATCGTTCGTTAAGCGATAATTCCTTGTAAAACATCATTGAAATACCATACAAGGAAATTGACATTATCCTTAGTATGAATTGACTGACTGAACGCCGTTGCTGTTAACAACTTGTGATGAAGAATTCCTCAACTAAAGACCGATGATGGTAAACTCATAGAGGTGAAAGAAAATCTGATATCTAAACCAACCGAATTCATCTCGAAAATATATATACGAAAACATCTCAAACAGAAGAAGTGTGAAGTCTACGCGGAAAGAAACATCTGAACTGAAGTAACGTATCGAAAGTATGTTACCTCTCTGATATGAACTTCCTAATATTTCACCGTTCCGAGAAATTGAATTCTCTATCAATCTTGATCCTAGAAAGGACCAATATTCGTAACTCTGTATTAAACGTGTTTCCATCAATGACTTCGTGACAAAGAATCACCTGATCAAGTGTTTCCTCCTTGGTAGAATACCTGTTTTGTTCATACGCGAATCAATGAGACTCTATATCAACTACTGTCAGTTGAACATTTTGTTATACTTTACCTCGTATCATGACTTATTTGATCAGCTTAGAGAATCCATTGTATTCTCTAAGATTGACTTACGGTCAAGATACCCACAAATCCCTGTCAAGAAACTTGAACAAACTGACGACCAAGAATCGCTGACCTTTACAATGAACTGACGACTTGTTCGATCAAATTCAAGGAACCCGTTTGTTAGAAGCTATAGACAGCTCGACCTTGTTATAATAACTTAATTACTTATCGTAAAAAACATTAGTGAAATAAAGTGATGCTGACAAGGCAAATAGTTAAGAAATTTGACTCGAAAGATCGCGATGTGGAACAATACAAAACAAGATGTGAAACAGTTACACCAATAGTGAAAGACTGAAGAATGAAGAAAATATAGCTCGCATTGGTCATACAACCTAGAATAATATTTATGGAAAATATCATTTCAACATACAACTTGGATCATATGAGGAATGATACAGGTGCAATTTCCCAAGATTCACAAGTTCATCATAACTAACCCCAGGTCCCGGGAAAGCTTTAGCAAACTCTAGTTTGTCTAAAAGCTCGTCAACAGAGAAAGAAGAAATAAAAAGTTTCCTCTGACTGGAAGGCATGAAGTTCTGCCTCACCGCATCGTCTAAGAATTTGCGAAGGTTATTGAAATAACCGTCAATGTTTAAAAGACTAATGGGTCTATTGTGTAACCTTTCAGAAGCCCACGAGATCAAGGTGAACAAACCTTCCATGGTGTCAACTCCTCCAGGAAGAACAATGAAAGCTTCCACGGCATGATTAATCTCAAAATATTTGTAGTAATTACTGAAAATTGTGTGCTCTACACCGTACATAGGTCCATAGACCCGTCGTGTTGCTATGTACCCAGGAATGAAACCTCTAATGAAACCTCTACTGTGTGCTCTACACCGTACGTAGGTCCATAGAACTGTGTCTCAGTTCACTGCCTGAACTGAGACAGAAGTTCGACTACCTGTCCCAGTATGCGATGAGTCTGGTTTCCACTCCGGAGGATCGTTTGAATGAGTGCGTCAAGAAGCTACGGCCAGACTTGAGGCCGTATGCCGCACTGATCACGACGACAGATTTTAATGCGGCGTATGATTTGATTGTGAAGACGAAAAAGAGCTTGGACGATCTGCAAGCAACCAAGAAGGAGGATCGAGCGACGAAAGACTCGCGACCCGCGGCCAGCACCGGGCCGAGCGGGAAGAGTTTTGGATTCGGGGGAAAGAGGTACGAGAAGGGTTCTTCGAGTGCGCCACCGCCTAAGAGGAGTAAGTCGAGGCCGTCTCCGTCGGCCGCCGCTAACAACTCGAATAGAACGAGGAGCCACCCGTAATGTGTACATTGTGGTAGGCATCACCCGGGCGAGTGTTGGCTCGCCCAAGGCTTATGTTTGGGTTGTGGTCAGCCAGGGCATTTCAGGAGGCATTGCCCGACAAACCCTAGCAGCGAGCCTGTTTTACCTAGAGCTCCGGATCAGCCTGCCGCATCACATCCAGCTCGGAGTCAGCAGTCTACAGCCGCAAATAATCAGCAGAGACCACGTCCGCAGCAGTCAGGCCAGGCACCAGCGCGTACCTACGCCATGCATGGGCGCACAGATCCTAGTCCCGATGTTATCTTGGGTACGTTCATACTATTTGATTCGGTTATGCATGCCTTGATCGATCCAGGTTCTACGCTCTCCTATATCTGTGTTGGCATGCCTGCTAATTCTGCGATTGTGAGGAGTGACCTTGAGATACCTACCGTTGTATCGAATCCGCTAGGGCATAGCATGCGTCTTCATCACATTTACCATAGGTGTCCGTTGTCCGCGCAAGGGAAGCAATTCCCTGCTGATTTGATAGAGCTACCACACAAGGAGTTTGACATTATCCTTGGTATGGATTGGCTCACCGAGCATAGAGAAGTGGTCGACTGCAGTTGTCGGACCGTACGGCTGAGAGCCGAGGACGGTAGCGACGTATCACTCTCCCGGGAGGTGTTCCCCAAGGCTCCCGAGTTCATATCATCCTTGAGCGCGAGGCGCTTGATTCGCAAGAAGTGTGAGATGTTCCTATGTCACGTTCAGGATATGCGAAAAGAATCACCACGTCAGCAGGACATTCGTACGGTTTGCGACTTCCCCGATGTCTTTCCCGAAGACCTACCTGGTTTGCCTCCGCCGAGAGAGGTAGAGTTCTCGATCAATCTCATTCCGGTTACGAAACCCATATCTGCTACACCGTATCGTATAGCACCTGCCGAGATGAAGGAGTTGAAGGCTCAGTTGCAAGAGCTACTGGAAAAGGGATTCATCCGACCTAGCGTTTCCCCATGGGGAGCACCGGTGTTATTTGTTCGGAAGAAGGATGAATCCATGAGACTTTGCATCGACTACAGGCAGTTGAACAAAGCCACAGTGAAGAATCGTTATCCATTGCCTCGCATCGACGACCTGTTTGACCAGCTCAGAGGAGCTACGGTATTCTCGAAGATTGATCTGCGTTCTGGATACCATCAGATTTCCGTCAAGAGAGAAGACATTCCGAAGACTTCTTTTAGAACACGCTATGGGCATTATGAGTTCTCAGTCATGCCTTTCGGATTGACTAATGCCCCGGCAGTGTTCATGGAGCTTATGAACAGTGTGTTCCGACCATACTTGGACCAGTTCGTAGTAGTGTTCATCGATGACATCTTGGTTTATTCACGGACTCAGGAGGAGCATGTTAAACATTTGCAATTGGTTTTGAGTGTGTTGAGAAAACACAAGTTGTATGCAAAATTGTCTAAGTGTGAATTCTGGTTGAGTGAGGTGACATTCTTAGGACACGTTATCTCTGCCACCGGTATCCAGGTAGACCCCAGCAAGATTTCAGCCATAGTGGATTGGAAGACTCCGCGGAATGTTCGTGAGGTGAGGAGCTTCCTTGGGTTAGCCGGTTACTATCGTTGATTTGTTAAGGGCTTCGCTTCGATCGCTACTCCATTGAACAAGCTACTGCGTAAGGACATCAAATTTGAGTGGACAGAAGCGTGCCAGCGCAGTTTTGATCAACTGAAGGAGTGCCTGACCCAGGCACCAGTCTTGATTCAACCTACTCCTGGCATCGAGTATACCATCTATAGTGACGCATCTCATAGCGGCTTAGGTTGTGTACTGATGCAGTTGAGTAAGGTAGTGGCCTACGCATCGAGACAGTTGAAGACTCACGAGGAGAACTACCCGACACATGATTTAGAGTTGGCAGCCGTGGTGTTCGCCTTGAAGATTTGGCGCCACTACATCTTTGGAGAGAGGATTCACATCTTCACCGATCACAAGAGTTTGAGGTACCTACTCACCCAGAAGGA